CAGCCAGAGATATGTATTAATGTGTTAAATTTTTAAATTTGAAATGTTTTCTTGAAATTTATTCATTAAGTTGGAGAAGAATTAAATCATGCCATTTGATAATTATCCCTTTCCTTGGTGGCTATACTTGTTAAAGGGACATTAAGACTACATTTGTAACTTTCCCTTAGAGATACAATGAATTACTTAAAGTCATGGAAGGGCTGGAAATGTAACTCATTGATGGAATACTTGCCTAACATACACAGAGCTCTGGGCTTGATGTCTAGTGGTGAAAAATTATGATGTAGATATGTCCACATATAAATTTACAACCTGTCTTTCTTTGAGCCATTTCTTATTTGAGTCAGTTTGGTTTCTATTTATTTTATACTTTTCTGAATTTCAATCTTCTTATTCCCCAACTCTCAGACTTCACTGAGCTCTCTAGAGACTTTCTTCCACAAATCATGGAATGTCTGTTCTGAAAATTCAAACGTCAGGATTATTGCAGCCCTGTGAAATGCACATTCTGTGCTGGGATTATTCGTCTGTCATTTCCTAGGTATTTTACATGCATAGATTATTCACATAATGTATTCATAGGATCTAGTTTTGAAAGTATTTCAGCTTTTACTGGCAGTAATATTTCCCAGCAGCAAGTTAGTGAGATCTTGATTTTCCAGGGTGTTTTCAATCAGCTAAGTTAATGATTTATCAGTCAGCATGCTCTTGTTACTCAGTGTGCCTAGAAGGCCCCTCATTCACTGGTAATGTGATTAATTCTTCTCCAGTGGCAAGCCTATGCCTAGTAAACATACAAATAGCCAAAATAACCACAGATACATTATTCATTGTTCAATATTTTAAGAACATAATTTGTGAAACGTAAAATAAAGTTAAGTGTACGCTTTCTAAGCAGACAGTTCAGTTTTCACAAAGTAAGTGGAGGAACCCCTAGCTACTTTTAAACTCTTAATGTGTCAACAGATCTCACATCATTTATTCTTAAAAATGTTCTTTATAGGATGAATATATTTTCTCAAAACCTACAGTGGAAATATTTGTGAGAAGCTATTATTAATCCCTTTCTGAAAAGAGAGTGATCATATAATTATTTATATGAATGGTACTTAACATGCTTTCTCACCAATAAGGCTGCCTCATAATTGCTTATTGAACTCGAATTTTTAGACTTATGTTGCATAGTATTAATTTTCCACATTCAAATATTTGAAAAATGAGGTTTGAAAAACATTTTTCATTAATGTAATAAAATGGTTTAAGGTTTGTGTGACTTAAGCATTCTTCTAAAACACTATTTTTATGTGTGAAGGAATGGACACCTGTGATTGAGATAGTCTTTGTCAGACCTGTGAACATTCTTTCAATCACATTTTCCATCATCTTTGCTGGTTTTTAACATTACTTGAATAGACAAGCTGTCCATTCTTTGCACTCGGCATTCACTGTTAGTAAATTTTATGTGTTCCATCAGCAATTTGATGATAGAAAGAAATGGTTTTTCTGTATTTCATGTAGCAGCAGAGCTCTGCAAAGTGTCTCTGGGGGTTCTTTGATGTCTAGACAGTTTAAATTATGCTGCTCCCTGCCTCCAAATTCCACCCTGTTCTGCTTCATGGGTTGTGGGAAATGAAACAAACCAGAAGGGTTCCACAGCCTATAGTCCAGGGGGGAAAAGCTAGCAAGTAGAGAAGGTCTACGCTGGCAGGTGTATAGGCAACAGCACAGTTACAGGGCCTGTAAGGAAGAGGAATGGGACAAATATCCCGCTTATGTATTTCCTCTTATATTTTCCACATGTAATTATATACATACTGTCAGACAAATGGAAACATCTTAGAAGTGTTAGAGAAGGAGTCACCATCACCGTGTAGCCTAATGTCTTTATTTTTCTTCCCAAGCCCCCAGCAGCAGCCAAATCCAGGACTGTAGTCCCAATCATGAACATTGCCCTATTTGTTGACATGGTGAAATAAATCGTTCCTTATATGAGAAAACTAACGTTGTTCTCTTTGTCCTCTATTTTCTTTTTACAAATGGATGTCATCGTTCCTCCAACCCATCCTGTTAGAAAGTAAGTAGCTCCTGAAATTATGAGATACTTTGTCTAAACGATGATGCCCTATGATTCCACCCAAAATACATGTTCTATTTGGGAGCTCGTGTGTTCGGTTCTGATGGACAAGATTAATCATTGCTATACAGAAACCTCCGAGAATGCAGATATGGAAAACATTTGCTTCACCCTCCTTCATAGCCATAGTTGTGTGTATGATACTCTATCTTTTATGATTATAAAATAATAAAAATTTAAAAATAAGGCATTCATTTATTTCTTTTGTAAAGCAGTTTGGGGAGATCATACACTTATTTTTCAGGAAAAGGAGCTTTGGTTATCTAGGTTATAGAATTAGGATTAATAGCCATAATTAAATATGGAGGCTAAAGTATTTTAAAGGTGTGCTTTTCCACTATGTTTATCACATTGGATTTACAGATTTCTATTAAGAAGCCCTGCTATTTATAGATAAAAACTTTTCTAAATGAGATAGGCCCAAATAATGATATATAAATACTATTTTTATGTAGAAATGCAATTAATATCTAAATCTGGGTGACTTGAATTGTAAGAATATTTTATAATTATTTAAAAATTTGAATGTAATTTTAAATCAAAACAAATTTCATATGTTCCTTTTGGGAAATATTTGGGGAAATTGAAAGTTGTTGAGATCTTTAGAGCTATATTATTTCACAATTATGAACTGTGTATTTTAAGATCTTTTCCCATGGTAAACCTTGAGCTTATTAAGTTACACTGCCTAGTAACTTGTGCTCATTAGGGCTTCTCATCTGTCTGAGATGAAGTCCTTAGCACGTATGCTGACATTAACCATAGCATGAGGCTGCTTTTAAAGAGCTAATTTATCTTCCACAATCATGTTTATCTTAGAAAATGTAAACTATAGTTGTGTTATATTTGTTCTGTATCCTTTGTTGCTCTTAAATTTACCTTCCTCATAAATGTTCTAAGTCTACATGCTTTGGATTGTGTACATTAGGAATTTAGTGTGAAGAACGGGACGGCTATAGTGAAGTTTCGTGTTAGGTGGAGAATTCTATTAAGTTATGGTTTTAGCGATCTACAGCCTGTAATTTTTATGGATTGGAGTCCGTGTGACTTGTCATGTTAACATCTTGTCAAGTCCCTGCAGAAAGTCTTTATTTCTGACAGTTTTACTAATTTAAAACTCCTGAAACCTGGCACAGCCACTCGCAGCATCAGTTTCCCTGTGCTTTTTGTCTGGAGAGTAGAGTATAAAAAATTACATATTTTTTGCAGTGTTCACTATAACATGTGTTGCATCATTTATCTGGAATTCATTTGTAGAGAGATAGTTCCGGGGAGGTGAATCTACTCTTCCTTTATAGCTATGGCTGGGTCCACTTACATGTGGGCAAACATCTTTCACAAGGGAAAATAATGAAATGAGGCCAGTGAGTTTGTAGGAGCTTCATGAGGAGACACGTTACATAAGGCCACAGCACCGTTCCCACGTGAGTCACAATGTTACAGCCACATTGTTCTCTGACCAAATTTATATTACGACTCTTGTTTCCTGTCAGGCCCAATGGAATTATATTTATATGTTGGCACAGAAAAGCTGCTTCCTAAAATAATAAAGAAGACTCGCATTATTCTAATGCTCTCAAACCCCCCAGGACACGCTGCATAGCCATGCTGACTTGCGATTGTGTGTTTCTGCAATTCAGCAATTCTGTCTCTTTCATTTTACCAGCCAGCTTTCATAGTAAATAAGATATTTGATCACCTTGGTTTTTAGAAATATTTAGTAGCATAAAATTGTAGTTTTGCTTAAAAATTCAAAATTTGTTAAGTTTCATATTTGTTTCAAATATTTGTATCAAAATATTTGAGATTAAAAATCTTATAACCTTTAATGTTCTTGTGGACAAGGGCAGGGCTTCTAGTCAGCACTGACTTAATCATATACTGATCTTTTGGAAAAATAATGAATAAAAAGTGCATACACACATAATTAAGTCAAAACAATATTGATATTTTTAAATTCTAGCTTGCAAATCTGTTAATTTGCAAGCACACTGAAAAGCACACACAGTGCATTTTATTAACACCTTTGTAAGGCTTTGAATAATCCACAAGTGCTTGTTGTTGTATGCATTGATATTTTAATCATTAATTTAATGTAGTTTGCTTTCTTTTAAACATTGCTTTAACAACCCATTTCATAACATCTTTATTACAGCCCTAATTGTTATTTGGAAAGAATGCTCAAACACACATTATTTTATTTTACATATTCAAGGAAAAGTTGATATTTGCTGAGGCTGTAGGAGAAACAGGAACAGATATGTAAATTCTTAATTTGCCTGTGTGAGCAATTCACTATTAGGAGCAGCCTGAATACTTACAACTTCTAATCAGTCTCCTTTGGTTTATTATTATTACTATTATTATTATTATTATTATTATTATTATTATTATTATTACTTGTTTTCAACCTACGAGGTGAAACAGGCCTTGAACTTTTTCTTTTTTTTTTTGATCATTCAAGTGAAACCACCAAGTTGTATGTAATATTTAAAAACTGAGGCTTCATCGTGTTATTTTACAAAATAACACCACATAAAAGTTTGAGCTTTGGTTTCTTTAAAGTTCAATATTGGTTGCTTTGTGAATAAAAGCATAATTTGAGTTTAGGAGACATTTTGCCTGAAGCCTGTAAAACAGATGAATCTGATTAACTTTGGGGAAACTGGACGGGCCCTTTATTGTAATGTAGATGTTTCAGGGGTGGGAGGATGTTTTAGAAAGACATGTACAGAGGTTTTTTTTTGTTGTTGTTGTTGTTGTTTTTGTTTTTTTTGTTTTTTTTCTTTGAGACTCAGAATGGTTTGGCTTAATAAGTTGTGTCTCAGCTGGGCTCATTTTTTGCACACTTTTCTTTTTCTAGTGGAACCTCTCCCTTAGCCTGTCTGAATGCCATGCTTCACACTAACACCCGAATAGGGGATGGAACATTCTTCAAAATCCCTGGAAAGTCAGGCCTCTATGCCCTCAAAGTAAGTTGGACTGCCTTGCATTCGGTGTCTATTCTCAACCCGCATAGCACATATTTTTAAATATACGAGGATCAACACAGGGAGGCTTTTGTGAATGACCTCTGTGCCCTTAAAGGTTTTCAGATGCCACAGAAATGATTTCACATGAAGAATAAACAGTGACAGATTTCTTTAGGTAAAACGGATGGTTTTATTTACTTCGTGGGGCACATGGAGTAATGGAAGATAGCTGTGGCTTTCTTGGAACTTTTCAATTCTTTGGGATTTATAGGGAGGAGAGTCACAGGGCATCAGCGGGGGTTTGAGATGAGTATACTTACCATACACATCTTGCCGTTAGTACGGTCAGTCATGTTCACCTTGCACTCATATGTCTTCTGTAAAAAAGAAGACAGCCTCCCCTTCTTCTGGAAATTTCACTGATCAGGCATTCAATGGGGGAGCATAGGATAGACTTGAGGAAGTTGTTTTTTTTTTTAAACGAATAATGAATGCCTAAACACTAAATATATCTATAGAAAATAAAGATTTAAAAATATGAGACTTACAGATAAATATTAGAAGAATGTTTGGATGAACAGCTCTTAATTATTTAGTGGACTCCTCTTTGCTCTTGACGATGGGAAGTGGCATCTAAAATGTAAAACTGCTCAGGACAGCAGCTTTTGCCAAAATAATTAAGAATATGATCTACCAGAATAATTATTCTCCACTAGAATAATTGGATTTAGTGTGTTTTAGTAGATTACCTAAGTTAAAAAGAAGTTATTGCCTTAAGTGATAGGTTGTTAATAAAGCTCGTTAATTTCCTTTCAGAAGTTTGTTTCTAATGCCAAGAGTTATGCCTGGCAAAGTAATTCTTTCCTAACTAGTAATTTCTTCCATTCTTCTCACATTGTGTGCTATAGAAAATAACACAAGCTCATTAAAATTATTTTTATCATTTTCATTTGTTTTTGATAGCTTCCTGTATTTGATAGTTTCTCTTATTGGTCAAAGTTCTGAGTTGTCATTACATCACTTTATAGCAGAAGGAACATAAGTAGAAAAAAATGAAAACTATATATGTCATAAGGAAATTGTTGTGTATAGTTTAAGATTTATTTATGTATTTTATGTATGTAGGTGTTTTGTCTGTATGCATGCGTAACAGAAGAGGGCCTTGGATATCATAAAACTATAGTGATAGACAGTTGTGAGCCCCATGTGAATGCTGAAAATTGAACTCAGGACCTCTGGAAGAGGAGCCAGTACTCTTAACCACTTAGACATCCCTCCAGCCCCTTGTATAGATTTTAGAAGACTTCCCAGAAACATTAGCAACAATGATGGTTTTTTTCTCAGTGGTTTATTTTTTTTCCCTTCTTTCATCCCAAGGAGTAACTTTTACATTAAAAATAAATCACAGGACCCTAGGGAAGAGACCGAAACCTCAGTCAGAAGGGCAAACAAGCTAGATACCAGAAGTAGGAGAAGACAGGTAACAGAACAGGAGCCTTCCACAGCGGGGCCTCTGAAAGACTACCCATTAGGGTATTGATGGAGATACTGAGATGCAGGGAACCTTATGGAAGAAGAGGGAGATAGGAAGACCCTGGAGAAGACAGGAGCTCCACAAAAAAACCTTCAGAGACCAATAGTCCAACCAAGGACTATGCATGGAGAGGATCTATACCCCTTGCTCAGAGGAAGCCCATAGGTTGCTCCATTTCCAAGTGGGTTCCCTAGTAGGGGTACAGGGACTGTGTCTGACATGAACTCAGTGGCAAACTCTTTAATCACCGCCCCCTGGGGTGGTGCAGCCTTGCCAGGGCACAGAGGAAGACAATTCAGATAGTCCTGATGAGACCTGATAGGATAGGGTGAGATAGAAGGGGAGGAGGACCTCCTGAATCAGTGGACTGGGGAAGGGGCATGTGAGGAGAAGAGGGAGGGAGGGTGGTATTGGGAGGGGATCAGGGAGGGGTCAACAGAGGGGATACAAAGTGAATAAATTGTAATAAAGAAAGAAAGGAAGGAAAGAAGGAAGGAAGGAAGGAAGGAAGGAAGGAAGGAAGGAAGGAAGGAAGGAAGGAAGGAAGGAAGGAAGGGAAGGAAGACATCAGTATTACAATTCTGAATCACATATAACTGATGCTACTTCAAGATTTTAAAATATTATTCAGTTGTATTCAGTTGCTAATAAATCTCTGTAAATCTTTTGTTGTTGTTTGTTTGTTGTTGTTTGTTTTCAAAATAATGCAGAAAGAGGAGTCATCATGCCCAGTGGATGGAACCTTGGCTCTAGTCTGTGACGCAGACCTGGATGGCACTGAGATGGCAGAGGCTAGTGCCAACGGAGAGGAGACCAGGGGTGAGTGTGCCTGGCTCCAGCATACACACCCTTGCTCTCTTAGAAGCTGCAGCATTTAAATGTTAAATCACTTCTTGGCATTCTCCACCATACAGACACGATCTTCTGCTACATTTATGATTTTTTTTTGGTCCATCAATTTTTGTTTTAAAAGCTGAGCACCTAAGAAAGCTATGGCATTCTTTCTTTCTTTTTCTTTTTTTTTCTTTCTTTTTTTTTTGGTTAAACAGTACGTTTCCCTGAATAACTTTCTTGGTGTTACCAGAAGCTGTATATTACTCCAACATAGAAAGAGAGGAGTCGCGGATAGTGTTTCTACATTTATTTCTATGGATGTACTCTTATGACCAATGGCTCTAGTTTTTGTTATTTTTGTTTATTTTTTGTAAGTTTTGCTTAATGTTGCTATTCCTCAAAATATCAAGACAATGTAGAAGCTATTGTGCAACTTTTCAGCCAATTCCCCTGTCCCACAAATGGCCAGAGATCATTTCTGTGGAGGGAGGCTATAGCATTAAAGTCTCCTCTGTGGACTCATAGGAATTAATAAATTATCTTTAAACAAACCTATCTTGCAGAAATATCACATATCAATAATAATCCTGACATATCTACTTCGCTCCTAGTGTAGTGAGCAGCCCAGCCCACCCCTTTAACTGCTTATGCCCTCTTTTGAGCCCCAGAAGCCAAATGTTACTTTATCCCTATTTGAACTGCAGACAAGCTTGTGAACACTGCAAACAGATTCTGTCTTTGCTAGAACAGCTACAGTGTTTCATACATCTTTCCAATGCTGCACTTGACTCAGTGTCCCTCCTCCTCTCCTTTTCCAACCCTCCTTCTGCCACCAGATTACTCCTTTGGCAAAAGAAAGAAGGGCACCCCTGCCATTCTAGATGGGTTGGCTAGTAGGGCTTCTTCTTGTCTTCCTACGGGGTGGTGGAGAGTCTACCAGAGTCAGGTTGGCTGTTGTGCAGATTGCATTTGTGAATAGTCAGTGCCCTCTCTCTGAACATATACTGTCATCTTCTATGAGTTAAGTACTGTTATCATCAGGAAGAAAAAGCAAAAGCAAATTTCTAGTGAACATTGAGTACTTTAAAAGACAATTACAAAATAAATATGTAATAGTTGTTGCTAATCCAGTAGTGCCAACTTATAAGGAAGCGAATAAACAAGTTTCTACTGGGAAATGAATAAACTCCTTCATGGGATGAGGGAGCAAAGGTTTAAGGGTTGCGAGTTCTGGGTAGAGGGAACAGTAATTACAAAGACCCTGAGGGAGCAGAGTGTCAGGAAGGTTCCAGAAATAGCAGAGATGGATGGGTCTGGGGGATTTTAGTAAGATACAGTGTCACACTGGTGCATCTTGAGGTACACAAATCTGATTTTAAATGAGTTATTGAACCACTTCATGGTTTTTAAGGTAGAAAGACAATGACTTTAGTTGGATTCTCCTAAGATCACTAAGTATAAGGAAAGTGAGATACAGGGACCAAAATCAGGGAGACTAGTCATGAGGTAGTGGGGAGGTGGCAGTGCTGAAAGGGGAAAAAAGCAAGGGATGGGATGACTGTGACCACTTTCTGGGTATATCTGAGGGATGCTCCAACAGGAGTTGCCTACAAATGTAGAATTACAATAAAGGGGTTGAGCGGGGAGTTAGACCTTGGGTGTGAGGACTCAAAGACTAACTTTATTCTTAATACCTTAGCTTCTGTATTAGCTACTTTCATTGTTGCTTGTACAAAATACTTGACAAAAGCTTAGTATTTATTTCAGCTCACAGTTTGAGTGTACAGTTCGCCATGGCAGGGATGTCATGGCAGCAGGAGCCGGAAGCAGCTGTCACTTTCCACCTGCCATCAGGAAGCAGTTGGGGCTTGGCTTGCTTTTCCCCTTTTATTTACCCTGAGACTCCAGCCCATGGCATAGTGCAACCTATTAGTTTGGATGCTTTTTATCACATCTTAATTATGCTAATAAAGAAATTTCCTCTCAGACACACCCAGAAACATGTGTTCCAGGTGGTCCTAGGTCCTGTCAGCTTGATGACAAATGGTAACTCTCCCAACTAGAATGCTGAATTTCCAAATGAGAATTGGTTTGGGGAAGACTTATGAGCAGGGGCTCAGGTTAGCGTGTGGAATATGAGATTGGGTTTATGATCACGGATGGGTTAAATGGTCCCTGAAATGCAAGGGAAAGATGGGGTGGAGAATGGACACCTGGACATTTTCTGTTTACTGGAATCAGTCCTTGACATGGAATTGGTTGAGGTCACTAAAGATAAATTGCAAAGAAAAGAGGTTTATAGAGTGTGCTCAATGGCAGTTGAATTTGAAGAGGTTGGAGAGACTAGGAAAAGGTGAATGAGCTTTCAGATAGGTGGATGTAAGACATATTTTTTGTATGGGAAGCCAAAAGAACAGTGTGTTTCTGAAAAGACAGAGACCGAACCATGACAACACTTCCTCCTATGTACGGGCTGACCAGTCCAGCCCTGCGTGGCTTTGGACTCAGAAAATATCAGGTGCATTGTCATCCTACACAGGATGTTTGTTTTAAGTCTGGTCTGGAAACCTTGTCCCTCTATCAGGTAAGTGTGCAGGGAGAGGAGGAGAGAGAGGTGGGAGCGATGAAGAAAGGGAAAATCAGTTTATACTGGATTTATGCTTTTTCTGATGAACATGATAAGGACAGAAACAGCTTTGAGGACTTTTTTCATAGCCTGCATGTGTTGGGTGCTTGACAGTTAGAAGAAGGAAATCAGAGACAATTTCAAGAAGTTAAGAATTTTTTTAGGTGGAGGAAAATTCTTTAGGGGAGGTGGGGAATGCTTGGAAAAGGGATATAATCAGTATATTGTTTTTGCTTAATTAATACAAAATATTAGAGTCAATGTTTGTTTACTGGCAGGAAAATTCCATTCCAAAGTTTGCATAGGGGAAGTACTCTGACAGATCTAAGGGGAAGATTAGTTAGATCTGCCGCTGCATCTGAAAACATTAAGGCTAAATTTATCAGTGTTGGGTGCAATAGAACAGCAGTCATACTGTGATTTCTCAGAGTTACGTTGGATGGACGGGTCTACCTAGAGGAAAGATTACCTTTTAAAATTTGCTCAAAGATGTAAAAACTGACAGAGGCCCTGATTATGGGATTCAAGAGTAATCTTCATGAATATTGAAACTGGAAAATATGATAGAAATAGTATGGCTAAAGTGTACCAAGTATCAGCTGAAATCATCCAGAAGTGGAGGGTAGGCTAAGAGTAGGAGTAGCCTAACAGCTAGAAGTAGGACTTAGGAGCTGTGCCATCCTTACCTCACCTGGACTGGGCATGGAAGCCTCGAAGCAGAACAGCTGTGGGAACCATTGAGCAATGCTCACCAGATCAAGTACAGTAACAGGAGAGAGAGGAGGCTGAGGAAGGCCCTTCTCTCTAAGAGTTTGGCAGGCACTCCATAAGAGGAAAATGAGTGGCTATGAAGGGATTACTCTATTGTCTAACTGCCTTTGAGTCATTTGTGATCTTTGTAATTAATTCCACCAAACTTACTGGTATATCAGGATGGACTCGGACAGATCCGTGAACAAACTTTCTGTGCTTCCAGAGTGAGCCACACAGATACATATGCACTAAGGACACAGAATACAATACTGGGGCATCTGGTGAGCAGGGAAGAATGGTTCAGCGGAACAGTGAGGACCGCATAGCTCACCAGCCTGATGCAAGATGTGTGCAAAAGACTAAATCTGCCATGTAGCAAGATGGGGTCCAGGTGTACATGGGAGAGAGCCAAGATTTGTCAACCAGGAAGCAAAGTAATGGTTCAGAGACAATGTTAAGATTGCAGAAGTTCTGCTAATGACTGACCCTGAATTCCAGAGGAGACAAAGATTTCAGTGATTGCACAGGGATAGAAGAAAGGGAGGAGCCCTTAACCAGTAAGTATGTCAAAGCAGGGGTAAGCAGACTCCCCTATTCTATATGTGATGAGGTGCTTCACAGAATAACTCAGAGCCGCACATATCCAGCAAATGTGACCCAAATTAGATTTTCTGGCCTCTCCTTTGAAGTTGCATTAGGGAAATTGCTTTGGGGAAATCACTGAACGAATAGTAAATAGCTTATTTCCTTGAGTACTCCTTGGCTCACCCACCTTTGTGTCTTATTGCAAACCATAATTGCTTCTTGCAGGACAAGCAGATTTCCTATCCACAAAAGTACTGTGTACAGCATGGAAGAGAACCTAGAGAGTGAACATCTATTGAGCACTGACGATGACCAGCCTTTGCAAACAGCCCAACTTGCACATGGGTTGTGCATACTTTAATAGTCACAGCATTCCTGTGATGCACACCGTAGTTATAAGCTCCCCTATTTGATTTGATCACAAAGAACAGAGTCTTTTTTAAAAATTATTATTTATATATATTTTTTTCATTTTCTAAAAGTGACTGATCCTACTTTCTTTTTTTTTTTCTTATCAGTTACATTTTATTAGCTCTGTATTCCAGCTCCCTCATTCCCTCCCAATCCCATCCTCCCTCCCTCATCTCCACCCTGCCCCTTTCCAAGTTCACTGATAGGGTAGGACCTCCTCCCCAAAGAACAGAGAGTCTTAGGAACCTTTCACATTGTATCCAAGCCCAGGTGTATATCTGACACCAGAATCCAGGTTCTAACTGTTCTGAACTTCTGTGTGGAACAGCAGCGAACAGTTACCAGCTAATGGTAGAGGTAATTTGCCCTTCCAGGGTGAGCCCTGGTTTGGTCTGGTCATCCTCCTGAGAAAGTTTTCCACATGTGTGAATGTGGGTGTGAGAGAGAAAGGGTAGAGGAAGGCAGAGAAGGATGAGGAGAGTCATGTCCACAATTTGTTCCTCCTATCAGTAGCCTCATATTGCTTCTTTGGTGCAAAGACCAAGAAGTGTCTAGGTGAATCACGGCCAGTCATTGGTAAGAAACCCTTTTCACAATTAAAAGGCTCAGC